CTCAGGTGTCTCAGTGGCTCAGTGTCAATCTCCCTGCAGTGTGCTGGATTCCTGATGACCCTCAAGGGACTTCCAAGCACCTACAACAAAGACTTACAGGTATGCAGCTGAGGATGTCCTAAGGAGTCCTCTGGTCTGTGCCACATAAAGACTTCTCAGTGCTCTGATATAGCCAGACAAATACCCTTAGAATGGCTCCCTCCCATCCTGGGCACACAGTCTGTGACTACCCTCAGAAGTCCTCTGCCTCTCCTTGCTAGCAAGAAGTGCTAAGGTTACCCAGTGGAACAGGGAATGAGGTCTGGGGGAAGAGCAGGGCTGCGGGTCCCTTACCTGCCACACCCCTCCCAGGAAGACAAGGAAGCTGTGTTTGAAGTGTCTGACACCATGACAGCCGTCCTCCAAGTGGCCACCGGAGTCATCTCTACTTTCCAGGCAAGACTAGCCTTCCCCACCTTACCTACCTCTCCCTACGAGGCCCAGACTGGGATTTGCAGGGGAGGGGATGAGGGCAGAAGGTGGGGGGGGGGAACGGAAGGGGTTAGAAGCCAACGCCCCAGGTTTGGGCTAGAGTAGGTTTTTTGTTGTTTTGTTTGTTTCTTTGTTTTCTGAGACGTGGTTTCTCTGTGTAGCCCTGGGCATCCTGGAACTCACTCTGTACACCAGGTTGGCCTCAAACTCAAAAGATCCGCCTCCCTGCCTCTGCCTCCCCAGTGCTGGGATTAAAGGCGTGGGCCTCCGCCTCCGCCACCTGGCTAAGTCTTAACCCTATCTCAAAAGATAAAAAAAAAAAAAGATAAAAACAAACTAATAATGAAAATGTTTGAGCAGAGAGTGGACTGCTCGTGGGGGTGGGGGTGGGCTGCGGTTGGGGCATAACTCAGCGGCTGAGGACACAGTAGGGCAGGCTCCAGGGGGTCCCCCAAGCTCACTTTTTGCTGATCTCACACCTCCAGATTCATCGTGAGAACATGAAGCAGGCACTCAGCCCTGACATGCTGGCCACCGACCTCGCCTACTACCTGGTCCGCAAAGGGGTGAGTGCAGAGGAGCCGGGCATAGAAATAACGGTGTCCCCAAAGCAGTGCACTCGGGTCGCAGGAGAAACCAAGCTCCTGACCACCCTCTGCCTATGTATCTATGCCTATAGATGCCATTCCGCCAGGCCCACGAGGCCTCAGGCAGAGCTGTGTTCATGGCAGAGACTAAAGGAGTGGCTCTCAACCTGCTGTCGCTACAGGAGCTGCAGACCATCAGGTGTGGTGGACCCCCCTCCTGCTCACCCCACCCACGACCTCCCCTCACTCCCAACCCCGCACCCGCACCTGGATGTGCTGCATCCCGGAAGCTGATGCTGGCCAGCTGCAGGCCGGGATGCCCTGGCTACTCTGACCCCATCCTCTTTTTCCCCAGTCCCCTTTTCACGAGCGATGTAAGTCACGTGTGGGACTACAGACACAGCGTGGAACAGTACAGTGCCTTGGGTGGCACAGCGAAATCCAGTGTCGACTGGCAGATCGGCCAGGTGCGGGCCCTGCTGCAGGCCCAGCAGCCCTAGATTGCACCCACCCGAAGCTGCTCCCCAATAAAGTGGAGCCCTGAAGAGAACACCATAAGCATACACCTCTGCCTGTCGTCCTCATGAGTGGGCTTGGGGATTTGTTGAGCCGGCCAATGGGGTCATGAAGGAAGTAGAAAAAAAAATGAATGCCAATGCTAAGAGAGACAGGAATGAGAGTCGTTTCCTTCTACACCTTAAATCCCAGATCCCCCCCCCCCCCCCCCCCCCCCCGTGCAGGCAGCGTAGCTATGAATGCAATATCAACACAAGACCATAAACTTAAAGGCGGAGAGATGTGTCAGCACTTACTCTTGCAAAGAACCCGAGTTAGGTTCCCAGCACCCGGATAAGGAGGCTCACAAACCTCCTGGAACTCCAGCTGCGGGGGATCTGGTGCCCTCTTCTGGCTTCCATGGGTACTGCGCTCATGCCCACCACACACTCACTACGTACACATCAATTTTTTTAAAATTAATAATCGTTATGATTCGGGCCGTGGTGGTATACTCCCTCAGGAGGCACAGGTAGGCAGATCTCTGAGTTCGAGGCCAGCCTGGTCTACAGAGGGAGTTCCAGGATATCCAGGGCTACACAGAGAAACCCTGCCTCAAAAAAGAAAACAACCTTTTTTTTAATCACAAGGGTCTGGGGCTACTGAGATCCTATCTCAGTAAAACACATCAAATAAAAACACAATACAATGCCACTGGGACACTAGTCTCCACCTGACAGATCAGGGGAAGTGAGAACGGAGGACAGGGGAGGAAAACCCTCACTTGCGTTGGAGGCAGACTGATGGAGAGGCTAGGGGAAGCACCTTGATCATCCTGGGTGGAAGAAGCCCATTCTTAGGGACACGTGGAACAGGTTGGGGGACCTTTGTTGTAGCCTTGCCCAGAACATCACAGAAAGCAACCTTTCAGTCATTCCTGGGGAAGCAAATAGGTATAGCACAGTGTCTAAATGCATGGTATGAACTTGACCCTAGGCAATATGAACTAGAGCTACAGGCAGTGCTGTGGAAGTTTTGTTGTGTGTGTGTATGTGCGTGTGCGTGTGTGTGTGTGTCTGTCTGTCTGTCTGTCTGTCTGTGTGTGTTGAGTCAGGGCTTCACGGAGCCCAGGCTGACCATGAGCTCACCAAGTAGTTAAGGTTGACCTCGAACTCCAGATCTTCCAATTTACACCTCCCTGATCCTCGGATCATAGGTGTGTAGGTTTATGTGCTGCTGGTGGGTGGGAGGAACACAGGGCTTTGTGCATGCTAGGCAGGCATTCTACCAGCAGAACCCTTCAAATGAGTCAGCACCAAGCCTGATGACTGACAGCAATCCCCAGGAGACAACCAACTACCAATTCTCACAAGTTGTCCTCTGACCTCTCATGCGTGTCACAGCATGAGCACCCCCAGACATTAATTCAGTATCCCACACTGGCTGCTCTTCCAGAGGACCCACGTTCTGTTCCCAGAACCCACATGGCAGCTCACAACTCCAATTCTAGGGGATCTAACCCCCTCAACTAGTCACCGTAGGCACACATGTGGCATCTATTCACACACACTCAAGTTAGTAAAAACAATAGAGACAAATCTTTTTTTAAAGTACTAAAGGGCAGCCGGGCGGTGGTGGCGCACGCCTTTAATCCCAGCACTTGGGAGGAAGAGACAGGCGGATTTCTGAGTTCGAGGCCAGCCTGGTCTACAGAGTGAGTTCCAGGACAGCCAGGGCTATACAGAGAAACCCTGTCTCGAACCCCCCCCCAAAAAAAAAAGTACTAAAGGGTGCTAGAGAGAGGGTTCAGGAGTTACAAGCACTTGTTACTGTCACAGAGGACCTGAGTTTGGTTCCCAGCACCCACACAGTGGCTCCCAACCACCTGTAACTCCAGTTTTAGAGGATCCAATATCCTGTTTTAACCTCTACCTACACAAGGCACACATATGATGCATATACATACATGCAGGAAAAACACTCAAACTAGAATAAGTCTAAAAATTATTTTAGAATAAATAAGACTTTGGTCATCTACGATAAGCGACATGCCTAGTATATTAATTAGGGTTTCTTCCCGAGATGTGGGCAACTTTTTTACTTTATTAATTTATTAGTTGTTGTTGGTTTGGTTTTTCTTTTTTTTAAAGATTTATTTATTTATTTTATTTATGAGTATACTGTCACTGTCTTCGGACACACCAGAATAGGGTATCCAATCTCATTACTGATGGTTGTGAGCCACCATGTGGTTGTTGGGGTTTGAACTCAGGACCTCTGGAAGAGCAGTCAGTGCTCTCAACCGCTGAGCCATCTCTCCAGCCCCTGTTTTTTCAAGACAGATTCTCATTATATAGTTCTGCTGTCCTGGAACTCACTATGTAGAGATTAGGCTGGCCTAGAACTCATGGAGATCTTTTTGGGGAAAACAAAAAAGACACATACCCTCCAGGGTGTCGTGCATGCTAGGCAAACAGTCAAGCTATGTCTTCAACCTTGAATTGTTTTCATTTATATTTATTTTTAATTTTTTTCTTTGATTTTGTTTTTTGTTTGTTTGCTTCCTTGCATTTTGTTTTTTGAGGCAAAGTCTCCTGTAGCGGAGGCTGGCCTTTCAGGTCAGGATGACCTTGAACTCCTGACCTCAATCCTCTTGTCTCCCTCTCCAGAGCACAGAGATCACAGGTCTGGATCACCACGCCTGACTTATGGATGCTAGCAATGGAACCCAGGGTTTTCTTGCATGCTAACCCCAGTATAATGAATCCTTTTAAAAAAAAATTAGATTTATTTATGTATAAGAGTCTGTGTGTGTGTGTGTGTATGTGTGTGTGTGTGTCTGTGCACGTGCAGGCGTGTTGCGTGCCACATGTGTGCATGTTCAACTGAAGTCTGAAGAGGGCATCTGATCCCCTGGAACTGGAGTTATACACGGTTATGAGCCTCTTGATCTAGGTGCTGGGGACCAAGCTGGGGTCCTCTGAAAGAGCATCAAGCCCTTTTCCTCCCCCCACCCCCCAAGACGGAGTTTCTCTGTATAGCCCTGGCTGTCCTGGAACTCAGTCTGTAGACCAGGCTGGCCTCGAACTCACAGCTGCTTGTCTCTGTCTCCCCAGTGCTGGGATTAAAGACGTGCGCCACCACCGCCCGGCTGCATCAAGCCCTCTTAATTGCTGAGTCAGCTCTCCTGCGCGCATCCATGATTCCTTCCTAGGCAACTTTTCTCTTCCTGCCCAGTCTCTAGTGATTTCCCACCCTGCCGATTTTTACCAGACCTTGAACCACAAAGTCTTTGAATCATTTGTTATCTGTAGTTACATGGCCGTTCTCTACCTTAAAACATCTACTTCACTGCCAAGAGCTGCTCACTCTACTGTAATAGCTGGCCGCTTCGACAGTCAGCCACAGTTGAGATATTCCTTCACAAGATTCAAGAACAGATTTTCTCCTGCCCCTAGAGGCGTTACAGGTGTGGCTGTTGTGTCACATGTGCGTCAGTAGGTGGCATCGAGGAGACAGGCTATGTCTACGCTCAGTGTTGTGATCTATGAACGTCTGGATGGTTAGTAGCCTAACATTCCTTGAAGCAAGCAAGCCCGAGACGATCAGCAGTCCAGCACCAGGCAGGTCTAGACAGGCTCCCAGAACAGGAAGACACTGGAGACTAGAAGAACCCCACTGATCCTGGATGGGAGTGAACCGGAGACTGATGACCCTTGCCTGGGGCCACTTGAGCAGGCTAGGTGAGGAACAAGCTTGAGACAACCACCAGACTGGTACCATGGTGCCCCAAACAGGGAGCTACCCTGAGATGACCACCAGTCTGGCATTGCCCAGGCCTCAGGGGACAGATCATGCCCAATATGACCCCTGCCTGGCACCATAACGCACAAGTGGGATATAACAATCCTGAGACAACCCCAAACACTCAGAGACCCTGAGCACCACCAAGAGGTGTAAATAAGTGGTGGGGAAATGGAAGAGAAAGAGAAACAGAAGGATGTGGACACAATGAAGAGAAGCAGAACTGGAGACCTGAGGGTAGTGAGGAACAACCTGACATGAATATCTAGTGATGGCATCTGAGACCATGATGGAATCCCGGCTGTGCAGAACTGGCCCCACCCCTCACCTGGGAATCATGGGAGAGCTTGCCCTGGAGGCATGAGAGCAGGAGAGCTGGTCCTGCCCCTCACCAGCTGCAGAGCTTGGGAGAGCAGGCCCTGCACCTTGCCTGGGCAGCACAGTAGAGCTGGCCCCAAAGGCATGAGCATGGGAGAGCTAGCCCTGCCACTTGTCTGCCATGTGGTGACATGGGTGAGGGGGAAACATCCTGTCACCTATAGCAGAGAGAAGAGCTGGTCCCGAAGTCATCAAAGCAGGAGAGCTGGCCCTGTCCCTCATGTTTTGGCACCTAAGCAGTATGGCAGGAAGCTGACCGTGGATGTGAGGGTTATAGTTGAGCCAGCCCCAAGGGTATGAGTGTTGGAGAGCTGGCCCCACAACTCATCTACCATGCCTTGTGGCAGTGTGGGTGAGGGAGAGATGCCCTCCCCTCTCCTTGCCTCTGATCACCTACGGCAGGCAGGAGAGCTGGACCTGAAGTCATGAGAGCAAGAAAGCTCACCCTGACCCTCACCTGCTGGAGTACTTGGGAGAGCAGGCCCTGCACCTCACCTGGGAATCAGGATAGAGCTGTCCCTGGATGTGGCGATTGCAGGTGAGCTGGTGTGACGGCATAAGCACAGGAGAGCCAGCCTTGCCTCTTGTTTTCTGGGCTATGACACAGACTAGGGTGAGATGCCGTCCTCCCCTCCCTCATCTCTTGCCATCTACGGTAGCTGGCCCCAGGGTCATAAAAGTTGGAGAACTGGCCATGTACCTCACCTGCTGTAATACTCGGAAGACCCGGCCCTGTACCTCAACTGAGCAGCAAGGTCAAGCTGGCCCTGGTTGAGGGGGTTACAGGTGAACTGGCCCCAAGGACATAAGAGCAAGAGCCAGTGGACTGACCAGTTCAGATACCTCTCAGCACCAGATCCAGGGCTTTGAATTAGCCCACCACGACATCTAACCCATCGATGAATTGCTGGGGAGCATGAAGGCACTGGTCCTACATATTCAATACTATAGGACCTCCATGACACAGGGCAACAACAGAATATCTAAGAGGAATCCCAGTGAGGTTCCAGTATTGTTAGAGTAGCAGAAGCCAGAGGCCTCGTATCAGATCTAAGAGTCATTGCAATGAACATTTGCAAGCAACAGTGCGCCACACTACAGCTTCCACAATGAGATTTTTTTTTCTCTGTTGGGGGAAGGTTGCAAGGGTGAAGGGCAGGTACGAGGGGAGCAGGAGATGAATGGGATTGTGGTTTGTAATGTGAAATTCACAAAGAATCAATACAAAGTTAAAGAAGAAGAACAGGAGGAGGAGGAGTGGACTGTCAGGTTTGTTGGAGGAGGGAACTAAGGAGAGCAGGGGCCTGATTGGTCATCCCTAATTCTCCTCCTCTGGTATCCATCTCTTGCCGGCTGAGGAACAAGAACTGTGACGTAATAGATCATCTACAGCCAGGTGGTGGTGCACACCTTTAACCACAGCACTCAAGAGGCAGAGGCAGCCAGATCTCTGCGAGCTCTAGGCCAGCATGGTCTACAGAGCAAGTTCCAGGACAGACAAAACTAGAGAGAAAGAAAGAAAGAAAGAAAGAAAGAAAGAAAGGAGGAAGGGAGGGAGGGAGGGAGGGAGGGAGGGAGGAAGGAAAAGTTGAGCAAGCCATGGAGAGCAAGCTAGTAAGCAGCACCCCTCCATCAGCTCCTGCCTCCAGGTTCCTGCCTTGAGTTCCTGCCCCAACTTCCCTTTCCTCCCCAAGTTGATTTTGGTGATGGTTTTATCACAGCACTAGAAGCCCTGACTATGGTACACCCCTTGGTTGGCTGGCTTCTGGTTTCTGCTTCGAACTGTGCAAGTCAAGAACTTGAACACATTGAACTCCTCTCAAGATTTCCTCATGAGACATTGCTCCATTTTTCCAAGAAGTAGCTCCAAAAAAAAAAAAAAAGACTTTAAATGGCCAATAAGCCCTGTTTACAACCAGAATGTCTGTGACCTTTGAGTTTGGCCTTATCAGCTCTGCTGTCTATGTCTGAATCTGAACAGTGCACCCCAGAAAAATAAAACACCTTAAAAAAAAACAGTTTCATTACAAAAGAAAATTCTTTAAGATAAGAGGAATACATGAACCAGCTCATTTTTCAGTCTTTAAACTCTGCTTCATATTTAAACTCTGATCGGTCTTTGAATCTGGTTCTAAATGACATTGTTGGAGTAATGTAACTTAAACATGATCACCGTCTCAGCACTGGAAGGTAGAGACAGGGGGACCTGGCAGGAGTTCAAGGTCATCCTGGATTAGCTACTGAGTTGAATGCCAGTAGGAAACATATGAGACCAGACCTCCAAAAGGGGGCAGGGCTAATGAGATGGCTCAGCAGGTAAAGGTGCGTGCTGCAAAGCCTCATAACTTGACGTCAATCTCCAGGACTCAGTGGAGGGAGAGATTCAACTCCCACAGGTATCCTCTGACCTCCACACTCACACCATGGCACACACACACACACACACACACACACATACACACATAAGGAAACATTTGTAATTTTACTTATTTATTTGAGAGGACTGAACCAGGCTGACTCTATGACAGGTTTCAAAATGGCAGTTCAGGAGACTAGGCCCAAGCTTCTGTTTCCCAAAACTGGGCAAGTCAGTTACTGGAAAAGCCACAGCCCAGGGTCAGCCAATCAGAAGCAGCCCAGCCATCAGAAGCTACACCATCACCTGGGCTAAGGCAAGAGCAGTGTGTTAGCAACAGTTTCCAGGCTTCCCCAGCAACAGTTTCCAGCCACCCCCTTCCCCCAGTAATGATTATGGAATGTCACCAGAACCCTAACCAAAGACATCCATACTGAGATATCCAATCAAGATAAAGGTCACCTACCCATCCCTCGAATTCCCCTAATCGGCCTTAAGTTGAGCCCGAGAGCTCACCTAGGTGGCACCATCTTGGTGAACAGCTTTCTCCCCATTCCCTCTCTGAGAAGGAGAGGCCCACCCTAAGTATCACCCCATCCTGGCACATCAAATCTCTGTAAGACTAGGCAGATCCTCTCTCACTGAGGACAGACAAGGCAGGCTGGTTAAGGGAACAGGATCCACAGACAGGCAACAGATTCAGCACTGAGACAAGTCATTTCTCTGTGTCAATGACTGGCTGGCATGTTATAGCAACAATATGAACAATATGAAATGGCCAGCAGGCATGGAACAAAATAGCTACAGTTATTCTAGGGTGGGGGTGGGGGAGTCAGACCACATTGCTTTGATGCTGCTGTGGCAAAATACTGACAGAAGCAATTTGCAGGAGGAAGGATTTGTTTTGGTTCACAGATTCAAAATAAATAGATGTAATAAAGTAAAAATAAATATAACCTTTATAGACTGGGCCCTAGTAATCCACTTTCTCCAGGTAAATCCCACCTCCAGAAGGGACTATGGCCACCCCCAACAAGTTTTCAAAGAATGAACATGTAGAAGACACTCTCATACTCAAACTGTACCTGTCAGGAGACACTTGGGCCTGAGGTTATGAGTTTCTCTAAGGGGACAGCCAAAACTAACAATGCCCATGTGGACAGCTGTCTTAGTGAGTTCTTGGTTGTCGGGCAGTGCTCGCACCTAGGGATCTCGGGCTGACGGACCCGCCACAGACGGGATTGGCGGCGGATGGCGTCAGCTCCAGGCCGGGCCAGCGAGGGTGGGCGAGCAGACTCCAGGGTCCGGGGCATGGAAGGAGCCAGCCAAGCTGGCCCAGGGTCTTAGGCAGGCGGCGGGGTGGGGCTCGTGCTCCACGACGGCCTCTGGTCACCCAAAAACCCCAGAAGCGGGGGGGGGGGGCAATGAAGGAGAGTGCAACTGTGAACCAGGGCACAGCTCAAACACACCTTTCAGTCGCGTGGAGCGGGACCTCCGTCCCAGTCCCCAAAAGCGAGAAAGCGTTATCAGCTCTTTTAGTTCTCTCCTTCCGGGGGTAGCTCGTGAGAGCCCACAGAAGAAAAGTGTTTCAGCTCTTTTAGCTCTCTCCTTCCGGGGGTAGCTCGTGAGAGCCTAGGGAAGAAAGGTGTTTCAGCCCCTTCAGTTCAGCTCTCGCTCTTCCCGCTGAGGAGAGAGGAGAGAGTTGTCCTTTGAAATGCGCGACTGGCCAGGCGAAGCACTCCGACAACAGGAGACCTTGTACCACACAGCAGTAGTCCTTTAATTTGAGCTCTGGAGTTATATATATACACAGTTTCGGGGAAAGAACAGGTAGCCCCTATTGGTTTGGCTTGAGGGTTTGGGGATGCCTTATTTGCATGGAGGTGTTATCCTACGTGACAAGGGTCACGGGTCTCTTTGTGGGAAGCAGAAGCTAAGAGGGCCATACTGCGTGGGAAATCTGAAGCAACCTTCCGTCCTGTGACCCTTTTCAGGCCGAGGTCTCCGGGGCTTCGAAGATTTCTACCAAGCTTTCTGGCTT